ATTGAATTGAAATTGAATTGAAATTGAATTGAAATTGAATTGAAATTGAATTTCATTGAATTGAAATTGAATTTCACTGAATTGAAATTGAATTGAAATTGAATTTAGGTATTGAATATTGCTACAATTGGCTTGCCATATGCCGGCTTGTTTTGAAAACACTGCCCCCAAATCCCTCTTTAATCCCCAAATTTCACACCTTTTTTGCCAAAACATGAAAATTGTGAAATTTAACACGTACGAAAATTAGCAATGGTCACAGTTGTGTAGTATTTAAAACCATTGAAAACAACACACTCAAAGGTTTCGACTTATCAGAGGTACATGAAAAGTTCAACTGAACTGGCTTAAACTAGCTCAGGATGGTGCCTTAACTTTTGTAGTACACAGACCTACACACATGTTCTGACATCACACAATGCTTGTGTTTGGGTTGAAACTGACAAAAATGTGTACTACACAACTAAGTATGCTACTATAATGAAAGCAACTTGCAATTTCCTGCTATTGATTATTGCGAATATTTGATTAACTAGCTAAGTGGAGATGACAGGGAAAATTGTCTTCAAAAGCGGTTTCAAAAAGTTGAAAGTAACTCATTTAAGGAAAAAAAATAAAATAAAAAAGCAAGAAAAAAAAAACGAAAGTCACTTAAGGTGATTCCTCAGATATAAACGTAGTCAAGCGATTTTCTTGAAACTTTCCCTGAACGAACCCTTCCAAGCACCGTTTTTCAAAATACAATTAAAAAGATAGGTCTCTGTGCTTGCAAAAGAGATATGATGAGCTAATCCTACCCCATTAATGTCTAATCGTGTGCGTTACTTCATCGGCAATTCTTGTTACATTCTGCAATAAAAAAAGAAAAACAGCTTGTTTACTTTGATCATTAAAATGTAAATTCTCTTTGCTCGCGCCATCATTACGTCAACAGCTCGTGCTAGTTCTGTGTTTCTATCCAGTTTTAGTAGAATTCTACTGGTATACTAATGCAAATGCTGCAATCTGATTGGCTGAGCTACTCGTATACTATCAGCCATTAGAATGCAGTAGCTGTCAGTCGTCCACGAGATGCGACGTTTTTATCGTTTTTCCGAAGTTTTAGAAGGAATTTTAGATGTAAATGGATAATTATATTCCTGAGAAGACATAAAGAAGGACATAAACTGATTCTTGACTTTAAAAACTTGAAATTATTGAAAAACCGGTGCGCGCGAGTAAACAACTGCAAATTTACCACGGACAATTCAATACGTGCGATTTTGTTAAAGCGTAACGTTCAATAATGCCTCGAAAAATATTTGGAAACCATTATTTGCGTTAATTTAAGTTAGAATTCTACTAAAACACTTAGATTATTCGCTCTCGATTTCTAAGAGGCGATAGTTGATTCGGCCTTCGGCCTCATCAACTATCACCTCATAGAAATCTCGAGCTCATAATCTAATTGTTAATTAGTATAAATCTACTAGCGTTCTATCACGAATGCCGTTCTCTGATTGGCTACGCAACTCACTATCTATTCTGTGATAGATAGTAGCGCAGCAGTGTGCGCTTGTTAACAAAATGAAGGCCGCTTCTTGGCGTTTACGAGGTGTCTGTGAAGAGCATTTAGACAAAGTTTTGAACGACTAGTAAATTTATACTTAAACAATTAGATTATTCGCTCTCTCGCGTGATAGTTGACTTGGACTGCGCCCTCGTCAACTATCACGCGATAGAAATCTCGAACTCATAATCTAATTGCCTAAAGTGCACCTAACCCCCAAATCTTTTTTTCGCTAAAACGAATGTTCTTGTTATTTGAAATAGTTCTGCGAAAAAATTTTTGGATTCCGTGAAATCCTCCATTTTCTGTGCCCCGA